TATAACGTGTCATTCCATTTGCTTAAAATGGCGAAATCCGAAAGACAGATTTACTAATGTATACACAGTTTCCTGCTCACGACGAACGAATTATTTTCAACAGCGTTTATCCTTGGGCCAAGACAAGTGCCGAATTTCGCCAAAACTTCTCAAACACAAAAGTAGGCGGATGAAGAAGCTTAGATTGATTTTAGAAATGATTCTAAATCGATCGGGATAATTAAAACGAGTCTTTCCATCGATTGCGTACATCCTCACGAATTTATTGTAAAACTACTGATATAAAAAAAGGTGGATCCTTTCAAACAATGCATATACCCGCACAAGCTTATCCGAGTACCCTTATCCTCATCGCGAATGCTATAAGCTAATTTTGTGAAGAGCTTTTATCGTTTGGTCTTAAAAATTAAATTACGAAGCGTTACATTTACTGTAAGGATAATTAATATATATTTTTCTTCCATTTATTTCAAGTTATTACTTTATGGCAGATGCCAAGTATATGCTACTTTTAGGTCCAACTAAAATCATTATCACTTTTGATGTGGTAAGTAACGTAACTTGAAGAGTCTTAGGCGGCTAAGCGGGGCAAAGAGCGATTGAGTAGATGGATGGATGGACGGACCTAAACACACAGCGTTAAATCACATAGGTTATCTAGATTTCAAAAAGCTTCTAATGCGTACCTTCAGACGTTTGTCTAAACTAATCCACACAAAATTGATATCCTTGTTGATGACTATAAAGGAAAATTCCATACACGAAATCGTGGGAGTGGTGGAGTGAGATGTAGCGGGGGAGGGGAGTAGGAAACAGTCATAAAAGAACTCCAAAATTAATTAGATTATGTCAAAAAAGAAATCCTTGAAAATCCTTTTATAAAACCCATAAAGCTTAAACAATTGCTTTAGAAAAGAAAAAAGAAAAAAAAAAAAAAAAGAGAAGAACTCATTTATTTACTGCAAGCAAAGAAAATGAAGAAAGACAAAAGCAAAAAAAAAAAAGAAAAAAAAAAAACACGAAACGGAAAATACATAAAGGAAATATATTTCATGAGAAAAATTAAACGCTACGATGAAAAAACAAATTGCTTTTAAATAAAATAGTAATGCACGAGTTTTCCGTGATATGAAAAATCTGCAAAAATATGATCTCATTCAGAGATTGTTCTTGGAAATATATTTCATTACAAACGAATGTTTACGATGTGCGTGACTAAAGGAAAAATGAAAATTACATATATTGAAATAATTTATATGACGACGGCGATGATGATAATGATGATGATGATGATAATGATGATGACGATGATGATGATGATGGTTATGGCTTGACGGCTTTTATTTTATAGAAATATTTATGAGAATATTAAAAACGGAGAAAAGTATTTATATAGTGCAATGAAAAATTATTAAAAAAAAAAAAAAAAGAAAAAAAAAGTAAAAGCACCAAAGCAAAGGACAAAGAAAAAAAATAAATTGACGAAATAAGAATATCACGTTATGCTAACCTTGAAGAGAATCTTGAATACTCCTAAGCTGAAGCAAGTATGTATACATGGATATGGTTTTTCACGCACTTCCCATCAAACTTGGTTTTTGAACAATGATCGATTCTTTATCTAAAACTGCATTTCGGAGAAACTTTAACCTTTAAAACTGCGCGCCTTGTTTGAAAAGAGGTCGAAAAGTGAATGTCGAGTTGCTTTGCCATTTCAAAATGGCGCATTGTCCCTAGTAGGGATTACCAAGTATTGTACTTGCTTCTCGCTTCTTCTTCTCCTGGTGGATCGTATTGAGCAATCAAAAATATTACGCATCGTCTGATATGTCACTTCGACGATGTTTAATTGCTCGTCAAATCGAGCTCGCCTCATGACGTCTAGTTACCTATAGTCGGCGCATAATAGAAGAATTTCAATTTTGGTTAAAAAAAAACAAGTTCGATACTTTTTCAAAGTCTTTGCTACTGACAAGCCAACAATACTTTTTAGGTGATGTTGTCAGGCAATCAGGAGCGAAGCAGATTTTGTAAAGGGCGTTTCATCAAGTGCGGTATTTCTTAAAATTGTAACTTCCAGTTCCATTGATTTTTTTTTTTTTTTTTGCGTACTTTCAGAGACTTACGATTCGTGCACGTTTAGAAATCATTGAAAGACGTTGCCAAAGCGGCAGCATGGTTGTGGGGGCTCAGCGTCTGTTCATCAGAGAATTGGGACACCTTTATCGTGCCTCTATAAAGTCGGCCGCAGTTGTGTGGTTTCTTTTTTTTTGTTTTTTTGGGTTATATCAAAGCCCAAGTTTACGGCTGAGAAGCTACAAAATTTGGAGCATTTGGAAGGTGAATATACCTCAAGCAATCGCTTAACAATTTGAGCCATCGTTTACGTGAGTTTCGTCAAAGTTCTTGATGGACATTTGCACTATGTCTAAGCTTAACAGTTAAGGATAATTTATTTTGATACATTGAGTTGTTGTTCTCTTTTTCTTTTTTTTTTTGTACCCACCACTGTAAGGTGGTTTTGTTTTTCGTAATGTGCACCTATAAAGTATATATATATATATATATATATATGTTTGGTCAGCGTGAATTTCTGATTTGATTTAGTCATGTCCGTCCGACTGTATGTCTGTGTGTTGGCACTCTCCTCGTTACAAAAATGAAGATATCTGCCCACACAAAATTACAAATGATTAAATTTTATTTTTTTCACCTTTTTTTGACATGTTTGCGCAACACTTTCAAATCGCTCAATCGGCTCAATTATTATTATTATTATTATCTGCGAAAAAATAGGTTATGATAGACAATGCGATGGCTTTTTTCATAATAACACCAGCGATGTAGGTATGAGATGAGAGAACTTGGAAAGTAGAATGGGAAAAGCATAGTGATGGGTATGCGATATTAGGCCCCCGACCGAATATAACTTTACTACTTGTTCAACTTTTAAAAAGGATCGTTCTTAATATATATCTCTTTGAATGAAGGATCCTTTCTCGAAATCAATTAAACAAATATTTTTGCCACACTTTACCTCAACATCTAAGATAAATTAGAAGATATTGGTAATAATATTTGAGCAGGTGTTTCCTTTTCCTCACGATTGTTCGCCTAGTCATTTTGCTGGCGTTCCTCGTAAAACACGGTTGACTCGTATCGTATTGCACCGAAACCATGTCTGGCAATTACCGTATTGCAGAAGTCAAGCCTATATATACCAAATATTTGCTATCGTGCCGATGCTTTGGCGATTGCACGAGTAAGTGGGTCAGTCGGTAGAGGCATAGCCAAACACCCGCTAGACTTGCAGCCGTCACCAACTCTCTATCTCTTTCCCTCATTGCAGTTCTTTGTAATCGTTGCCATGTTAAGCGAATACGGGGCATCCCTTAAGTGATCGGTCATATTATAAAAAGAGAAAAATAAAATGCGATTGGATCGAGAGACAGCTAAATCGATTCATGATCTTATACGGATCAGTAGAAATTTTTTTGAGGCGTCTCTTTCTATGTGTTATAAAGTAAAAGATTACTTTAGTATATCTACTCGATCAGCAACACTTTCGTGGTAGGTATGAAAAACTACTTTTTCGTTTTAAAAAATAAAATATAATATAAAACAAAGTCAAAGAAATGCAAAATAGTTTTATTTATTTATATTTTTTTTTTTTTCAATAGAGAGAGAGAGAGAGAGAGAGAGAGAAAAACAAGCATTTTTGTTATGTGTACATAATACACGCATAAAAATAAAATTGAAATGGATTTTCAGTTTGTGTAAATTCAACCTAAATTTATGTAGATTTTCTATTAAGTTTTTAGCTTTATGCTGCTGCTTCTGTTCGTTGGCTGTTTGTTTTTGTATTCCTTTGTACTAAAAAGCAAATTTGCCTTAGTTTTTGCATAAGAATTTCTTCGTTTTTTTTTTTTTTTTTTTTTTTTTTTTTTATTGCAAAACGTTTAAGAGCAAGTAAGTGGATTTATAGGGTAATGGGTTAAAGAAAACTATTTAAAATTTACTGCGAATAAAATTCTATTACAAATTTCTTTCATTTTCTTAAGTCAAACAAGGCCACTAGGAAAGAATTTAATGAAAATAATTAATAAGAAAAGAAATAAGATAAGAACATTATGATAAACTTGGACGAATTATACCATGCTACTGCATTATTTCAGAGTCATTTCTTGAATCAGTCAATTTGTCTGTCATACAAGACGCATATTTTAAGCTATTTTGACAACGTTTGGCATATTAAGCTGTTTTGGTCCAAAAGTAGACGTTAGCTAGAAATGATTCGGATCAGAATTTCCGTATTACGGCCTCATTTTGAAAAAGTCATTGTATGAAAAAATTTCGCAATTTTTTCAAAACATCCCAGCAAAAGTCGCTGAATAGTAAAATGACAGCATATAGAATTAATTCGAAAAATTTGGATCAGCTTAGGCATACAAATATTCCTACCTAGAGAGTATGTCTTTACTTGGCAGAAAGAAATCATTTTTAATATTTTGCGATGAAAATGTGTCCATAACAGCGACTTATATATCATAAAAATTAGTCACAACAAATTTGAACCACGTGGCTGTATGGTTTAAACCGTCAATCTATATCAACATTGCCATGAAATGTAAGCGCTTTTATGGCAACAAAGTTAAATTTGCAGTACTCTATGGTGAAACACTCTAACAAGATAATTAATTTTTGGTAAATTTGGACCAAATTAGTTCACGTTTTGAACCAACACCCCTATAAGGGGTTAGTTAATTAACCAATGTCTTATAATACTTTTTTCTTTTGCAGTTCATCTTCTTACATTAATTCTGTGGGTGCTCTCTTTAAAATTTCGCGAATTTCGCGGTTAATTGCACTAAGAATTTTTTTTTTTTTTTTGATCAAATGGCAAGATTTTCCAAGATATAGTTAACTGTGACATCCAGTTGATAGATTGGTTTTTTTTTTTTTGAGATAAACATAAGAAAATTATTTCATATAAGACTTACGTGGGATCAGGTTTTCCTTCGGCCTCACATTCAATAATGAACGGTTTATCGCTTTCCTTATTCTGTTGAGCAACTTTAAATAAAAGTTCATCAGTCGGTGGTTGTTTGATAATGCGAGGCGGTGAGTTTACTATAGTTGTATAAAAAGAAAAACAAAAAACAACAAAGAAAAAAACGTTTAAAAAGTTATCATTGTTTTATTTGACGATACAAGGGTATATTAAGGAAGAACTTGAGATAGACCCACCTTTGATTCAGAATGATTTTCTGAATTCGTATAAGTTTTTCTGTCCATATTTCCGTCTTGTTTTCTTAGGTTCAACTTGACGGTTGCAAGTTTTCATATGATTCGCTATACTGTCGTGTTTTGGCCTAAGGATCAACGCCCATCAAAATGATTCGACTCGGACAACTTTATTTTGGAAAATCATTCTATTAAAAAATTGTATTAAGCGAAGCGCTGTGGGCCCGTGGCCCAACATAGTGTTTTTTCTGGCTTGCTATTTTGAAATTCTAAAAGAAAATCTTTTTGATATTCATTCGAACAGTTTTACTGTTATTACATTGTGCTCCCGAATTGAAAATTAAAAAACAACAAAAAATGAATTTAATTAATCTAAAGTCAACTGCGATTGTAAAGATGTACTTTTAATGCTTTCCTTTAGTAATCGCTTTGCTTTAAAAATTCAATGTTACATGAGACACTCAAACTTGGACTTTTCTTAGAACTCAGATAATCACAACAAATCGATCAACAGTAGAAACGTGAAGGAAGTGGAGGAGAACGTCGTGAACATTAGTGGGGAGGACATAACACGCATAATTTATTCTTGCAGTAAAAAATAAAATCTAGAGAATTATAAAAACATCGCTTATTGAATTGCGTGGCATATCGAAATGATTCGAGCGTATTACTGCTACTCGAGATATAGCTTGGGTCATTAAATCGTTTAGCTCTCCGCTACAACATATCTTTCTATAAAGGCATATCAACAATGGCTAATTAATTTTAGTAATTTATTAAAGGTTTTCATAAGGTCGCCTTCGACAGATGATTCATTTTTAATACCCATCAACAAAGCATACGATTTGTATTCATTGTGTCAAAATGTTTGCAGCACTCAAAATGATGCTTCAGAAATTCAATATGAACATCCAGTTCCAAATCGTTTTAAGTATATCCCTCCGCTCGAGTGTGTAGTGTCCGATCCGGCCGAAGTTTTTCGAAATATTTAAAGAACAGATTTTAGCGCCGACGTTTTTAAACAAATACCCTTTGGAAACCACTCTGCCTTCAGTTAAAGAATGCCAATCAAACTAACGTGAACTTCATACGCTACATTGCTTAGAGAAACCTTCTTCACGTAAACGCCGTTGTTTAACTTCGTAAAATGCTCGTTATAAGCAAACTTGGCTATGGTTTGATCATATATGACAGCAAAAGCGAAGCGAATCGAATATAAATATTTTGAAATAAAATTATCACCAAGTGGTTAGTGGCAGTGCATATGCTTTGCGAACCACACCCATCAAAAATATTATTATGGAGACCGGCGTTCCACCATTAGAAAAGAGAGTGTACGAGTTAAAAGACATAATTATACCGAACTGTTGAAGAAGATGTTAAACCGGCCCTTACTGCCAAAAGAAACCATAGATACTAATTCGCAATTAACATCCGCATAGATGTTGCAAAAGAAACAGACATTTACCTAAACTGTGGGATTAACATGTCGGGGGCTTGAAAAATGTAAACGTTTCCAATTGAGCTGACCTGTACGCAGTAGTGGATGTCACAGGGCAAGTGCAAATTTATCGCTCTCTACACGAAAGTGTGTCAATGATTTACAACTGTACCTGGAGCAATTCTTCAAGATACAAAGCGTAATTTGAAAGGCTTATCACCACAAATACTTTGTCGGGCATAAAACCTACTTGTATCCTACCTGCAATATCAACTGAAACAGCATTAACAAATTAGGAAATGTCATCGCCGCGTACAGAGACAAAACAAGAATTTTTTGGGTTCCAAGTCATATTGGCCTGGATTGATCCGCAGCGGTTGCACCGACGCAATGCAAAAGTTTGACCCTCAAAAGTTGTATTCACTCTCGGTATTCAATCAACGTTAGGAAAATCAAAATGAAAACATTTTGAAGAGACCGACTTGGGCATACTATTGCAACGCATCAACGGTATGGAACCGTAAGAATTCTACGATTGTGGAAAATATCTTACGATTAAACATATACTCTGTCAAAATCTTTCTAATATTCGAAGATTAATTTTCGGAGCATCTAACGCTACGGACAGCTTGAAAATGCCTTTTGAACTTAATGTCAATAAAATTTGTAACTTAATTAAGGCTGCTAAACTAATCACCTAATCTATCTAAGAAGCGAAAAGAAAAAGACGTGATAATCTTATTAGCTAATACACGTTCGACTTTTAGTCTTCGAGTTTATTCTTTTGATCCAAAGAAAATATATGAAATGATCGAATGACGGACGACAAGTTGAAAATGTGAACAATTTGGAATTGGAATCATATCTCAATATATCTTAAATTTATGAATTTACGAAAAATAATGGAAACTTTGTTTGATTTATTTGATATGAATGCTCAGACCGCTGTCCGTTTTCATTAGATTAAGGAGTGATGTGTGCATGAATAGTATGCATGAACAATAGACTAATTTGCTAAAGTGTATAGTCTGGCAATACATGGAAACACATGTTTGGTGCGAGATACACAAACAATATGTTGCAACAACGTTAAAGATAACGTTAACAAAATCAATGTAAACACATGCTAGCATCGTACATCGCTTGTATTGGTCTATGCAAGAGATAACGACATGAAGAGGATGAATGCCTGGTTGTTTGGCATGAGATGACTGGTTTGCTAACTCTGCCCTGGCAGCGCAATGCACATGCACATGCATGCATCCACATACAAACATGCATGCATATTTAGTAGATATCATGAGTATGAATCCAATCCAATTTGAAAACCATGTTGCTCAACTACATTTATAGGCAGCAGCAGCGCATAGGATATAAGCAACGAGAAACTCTATTAATATTGTTGCACGTTGAAAAGTAAAAGCATAACAATCTACACATACCTATATTAGAGTTGTGTAAACAACTTTGTAATCTATGGATTAGTCAAGGTTAGAAAGGAGAGAGTGTAGAGCACTAACAAATAGATGAAAAAAAAAAAAATAAATAAATAAAAAATAAAATAAAACGTAAATTGGCTACAGTCTGATAAAAGCAACGACAATTTGTCAAAGTCATTCATTTGGGTTTTGTGAAATTTTCAAGAAGAAGAAGAAAAAAAAAAAACGAAAAAATTTATAAAATAAATAAATGAAAGAAAAAACGATCATTGGTCTACCGGTATTAAGCCAATTTTTTAACCACAATTATTGCGAGAATGTCAACCCAATCGAAGTTTGCTTTTCTATTCAGTAGACAGTGTTATGTTTTTTTTTTTTTTTTTTTTGCTTATTTTAAGCCCGAAAGCATAAAGTCAATAAATGTAGAGACACAAGTGTTTGAATGTTTCCGTTTACGACATAGGGCAGGTAATGGAATCCTTGTTATGTAAACATAGTGGCTTGAAAATGTCTGCACGCTTACTCGTTCTTCGAAATCATAAAAAAGCAAGAATATATCATTGATAGGAATTTCGTTTTATATAATGATTTAATATCTAATAGTTCACCTGTAGTCAAAATCTTGTTCTTATTGCTTCAATAGTTAGATATTAAGTGTATTTGTATTAGAGGAGAACATGAAATAAGAGTAATATGACGAAATACATGACAGCTTTATGAGTTTTTTTTTTTTTTTTTTTTTTTTTAAAGAGAAATTATTAACTAATGGAACAGTTATATACTAAGCGTTTGCATGTATTTTGATCACTTTTCCCACTTGGAAAAAGCCGTTTATTGAGAAAACATGATAGAATATAGAGTAATGCAAATATTTTCCGTTATTTTCTACAACTTTTCCCCATTTATCGCCATGGAAACATGGCGATATCGTATCGAATAATTATCGATATTGGTTTGGCAATGAATCAATCATCGACCCATTTTCTCACTTCTTCAGCATTTCTGGCATGCGGTACCTTGATTAAAAGGCGCTATATCTGGTGAATATGCTGGACGTCGCAGAGCTTCCCATTCGAGTTGCAACCGTGTATCCTTGACAAATCTTGCAACATGTGACCGAGTTTTGCCATATAAGTGAATAACTCTGCGTCAGTCAACCACTATTGCTGGTCTTTTTTGCAACAATACACCGTTAAATTTGCTCAGTTGACGTCGATAGACATCCGCAGTAACAATTTCATTCAGTTTTAGAAGCTCGTAGCACACTGCACCTTACTTATCCCATTATATGCACAGCACACTGCACCTTACTTATCCCATTATATGCACAGCAAAACTTTATGTCCGTGAACATTCCGCTTCGGTGTCAATGTGGATAGCCCCCCTCGACTAAGCCACGACCTTTTGTGGTTGGGATTGTCGTAGTAGTGCTTTTGCACTTTTCCCCACAGAAAATCCTACTTTTCTGCCTGGCAAGCAATGAAACCGTGATAATGGAACGGGTCGAAATTGAATTTTCATCCAATTTGTGTGGTTGCTATGTGCCCTCCTTTTGGAACTTTTCTATTGCATGTAAACATGTAGAAACGATTGGTTTACCAACTGTTAAGCTTTTCGAAAGCTCTTTGGGCATTTTTGTCTTGCAAGCCGTTCTTTGTCATTGACATCAAGATCAGCGCTTTTAACTAAACTCGAAACTAAACTCGTCAATTGGGATATAATGGAATCATTTCTAGGAGTGGTTGATGGTACTCGGCACCAGATTTCTTTAAATCAAACAACAAAAATAATGAATATCAAAAATGCAATTTTATGCGTTCCATGATTAGCTTCTGTATGCATAGAATAACAATTCAATAACAGTAATTGAAAGAGTATTATTTTATGTAGAGAAAGGTCAAATCATCAAACTCAAACGCTTATAGTTCGTGTTACTTTATCCTTTTCATCAATAGATGTCGCTAATCAGAATCCATGCAAACACCTTTTATCTAAATCTTGATGATATGCTTGTCTTTTACAAGATCAATTTTTTTTTTTTTTCCTCAATACTCTAATCGATTTTTTGAAGAGAACAAAATAACAGTGAATCTTCGGTTGTTGATTAGCTGAATAACAAAAGAAGAAGAATATCAAGCAGCTTAGCAATATAAGCACAAAAAAATTGCTGTAATGCCCTACAATAAATTGCTTCCAGACTATAAGAAAGTTTTTTTCGTCAAAGTATATGAGAGGTTAAAAACGCAGGCATTTTAAAGCGTTAAGGAGTAACATCACTATACCTTTGCAAAAAAAAAGAAAAAATTTTCTTCATTGGTTGAATAGATACATTAAACCTTAGAAGAGACGGATCAAAAACTCAAATGTCAAATGAATGTTTGCTAAGAAATTCTTGTGGTCTTGCCTTTTTGACCACCAGCTTCTCTAATATATTAACAGATATTTTTGAGAAATCTTAATTCTCCTTGAATTTAAGCTGCTATAGTGATGTTATCCCTTAAGCAATTTGACGGTTCATTATTTACATCGAAATATATAAAATATATATAAAGTAAGTCGGGAAAAATTGAAAAAAAAAAAAAAAAATACATAAAATAAAAATAATTTCCGTCTTTTGAAAAAAAGTGGTCCCATCAGCAGGTTCGGTTGAAATTGCCAGATGTAAAATGTATTACCATAAACTTGATCATCTGGTGACAACACTACCTTGAAGTGAATAACCGAATACACGTCATTCGTGGGAACTTTTTTTGTTTTACTTCTGCAATTCGAAGAAATTTCCAGCTGAGATCCATTGATTGCTTATAACAGCATATGGTGGTGCTTAAACAGAGAGCAGTTGGTCTGAGTGGTTTCAACATTTTGGTTTGACGTAGAAGACTAAGAACGCAGTGGAATGCCGAAAGTGTGCGAATACACGGAATCCGAAGTATTATTGAAAAAAAACTCGGCAAAAGCTCAAAAAAACTTGCATTTAGATTATAAGTGACTCAACAAACATTTTCACATTTGGTTAAAATCGTTAGGAATGATTCGAAAAGAAGGAAATTGGGTGCTGATGTGAACTGAAGCCAAGAGACGTGCAACGACGATTTTGCACACATGAAATACTGTTTGCCAGGCATAACAGAAAGTGTGTTTTTTATCCTACAGTCAATAGTTATAAAAAATGGATCCACTTGGGTTATTACCCAAGCAAGAGAAAATCAAAATTTTTGCTTGGAGCTCTCTACCGAGCACAATTCGCCTATTATTATTCCAGACAAGACAAACTTTTTCTCCTATACGGTAACGCCCGTCCGCATGTTGCGCCGCGGAACAAAACTTATAGGGAAACACTTAATTTGGCAGTCCTATCCCATCCGCCATTTTCACCAGAGATCGCTCCTTCCGATTATGCCTGAAGATACAAAACATTGCATCAATTATTCATGGATAACCTCAAGAGACAAAGACTTCTTCCAAAGTGTCCTCCGATTGCTGCCAGCACACGAGCAAGAAGTAAGGACTAGATCCGCATGAGTACCCGAGCAGGCAACGCTCAATGGTCGCGGATTCAAATCTCACGTGTGGTAAAGTTTTCAATAGAAGCGAGCATATGATCTTAAATCCACACTTTGTAAATGCATTTACAAAATATATCGAGGATAAAGAAATGCAATAAAAGTTATGGGTAATGATGGATGGACGAGAATACTTTGAATAAAACGTCATTTACCGTTCTTTCACAATACTCTCCTAATTTTTGATAGCAACTTTTTGACGGTAACTTATTTGTACCCCTAATAGTTGAAGCTATTTGAAGTCCTTCTAAATGTTGCATACTGTTATTCCTGTGCGACAAGTGACGTAACGGTGTGAAGGAAAGTAAAATATACTTGAAAGTCTGCAGACTTTTGTAAACAACTGTATGTATACAAATACAAACAGAAAATTTAATTACATTACATTAGCCGAAAAGGTTGAACCATGAAAACCACGTTCATGATGACGAGCACGAAAATTAGGAAAAAAATGAAGCAAACGTCAAATGCTAAAGATGAAGTTTAATGCAAAAGTTTTTTACTGAAAGATTGAAACTTTCTTTTTTAATTTAAAAAAAAAAAACTTTAGAAAAATTGTACTATAGTATGAGAAGAAGATAAAGTGTGTCATTATTCTTCGTTACATTGAATCGACAAATTGAAGAAATATTGATGGAAGTGTATTAACTAACATGTTACTAATCTTTCAGTTGTTGTAAATTTATATCATATATCATACATATATATATATATATATGCAGTTTTGTGTCGTTATGAACGTGACGTGCATCGATTAAAATTTATTTCAAAAACAAATCTGACGTTATATACTTACTCATCGCTGTGATAGTGCCCAATATGGCAACCAGCATGATGATGACGGCCAACGTGCTAGACGACTGCCGCCCCATTTTCGAATGGTTTGAGTGTAGACGTATATGCCTGTGTAAATGTGAATCCTTTTTAATATAAAATCTTCTCTTTCATACACACAAGTACACACTGTCCACGGATTAATGGAATGTGACTTTTCGAGTCTTATTTTTGGGGAAGGATTTCATATAACTTATAATTAAAATCTTTGGTTTTCTTTTTTTTGTTTTTTTTTTTTTTTTTTTTTTTTTATTTATTTATATATATTTATTTCCCTTTTATGAACTTGTAGCACAAGCATTGACAAGATGAGATATATCTGCAATGGGATAGAAACGTATCTGCAAAGAAAGCAAAGAAAGAAAGAAAGATAAATTGTTTAGTAATATGTTTTACTCTATTTTATTTATTTATTTATTTTTATTTTTATTTTTAAGTAATTTCAAAATTAATCATCTGTATTGCACATACAACGTGATATAGAAGGAGAAGAAGAAAAACACGTTTTCTAGCTTCTATAATGTTCCAATAAACTAATTCTCAGGTAAACATTGATTTCACTTTTCACTCTAGCGTAAGGTGCTGTAATATAATACAAAGGCTTGCTTTATTAAAATCTAAAAGACACTGGCCAGGTTGTGTGTATGTTGTGTATGTGTATGTGTATGCTTGTGTGTGTGCGTGTGTGTGTGTGTGTGTGTGTAAGCCGCTTTTATATTACTTGACAGGCAGTGGCGTTGAAAGCGAATAACAATGGGGTAATAATGGGTAACAACTCAAAAAGGTAAAGCAAAGAGAAATTAAAATAATTCGACTTACGTTGTTTGCGAAACTGAAGCTAACTAAATCTAACTGAGATGATCAACACATTGGCTGTCGTTTGAATGATGAAAAATTCAACATCATAAGAAGAAAACTCTTGAAGGCAATAGAAAAGGGATATATGCGATCAAGTTGTTGTTTTTTGTTTTTTTGGTGGTAGCACAACTAAATGGGTAGCCATGGATACTGAAGTTGACTGCTGTTATTAATGGTCCGCTTAGTTGGCGTTCCGATGATTTAAGCTTTGGATAGCTTGTAAAGTGTCCATCGTTACCAACATGCGATCCAGTAGCGTGAAACGTAACGCTTAATTCCACGCATTTGACGGACCGCGACTTATTCCGACAACTTTGCAAAAACATTTGCACATTGGGGTGGGATAACTTTCTCAACGCTACACAGTCATAGAGGGAATGATGCAATCGTTCTGGGGAACCAGTTAGAAATCACTTTTACACCAGACAGACTTGATAAATACATCCACCGACTTTTATCTCTTATAAATCTATAATAAAATATATCAATGGGTGATGGCGCAGGAATATTTCACGATTTACTTTTTAACTTAAACTTTTTTTTTTTTTTTGGCAACAGTACAGCGAAAGCAACGAACGTGGCTAAACGAACTCGGCATGTATAATATGCAGAGTGCCTTACGAATCTTTCGATTCATGATAAGATTTCGTTTCGATCTCATATTAATCGCAAGCAGCTACAATTATGAAAATGCGAATTAATAATCCCTCTCTTGAAATAAACCACAAACGCTACTGAATTATTTAAAATTCCTTCACATCTAATGCATAAAAGAAAAAGCTTGAAGAAAACGCACATCATATGCTCAATGAAAAAACTAAACAAAGTTAATTTACATACTAATGAGAAATAAAAGAGAAAATGGGTAAAGGGGAATACGAAAATAAATAAATAAATGTAAGATATATTTTTTTTTTATAAAAGAATCGCACTCTCGATAAGAGGCAGAGAGAGAAAGATAGAGAGAAAAACAGCACCAGCGAGAGATAGGTAATAAACATATGTTAATTGAATTAGTAACTGAAAACAAAAGAAAATCCAACTGGAAAGGGTTGCACTATAGCAACACTTTCCAAAACAAGCTGAAATGTTCTCAGATACGTTTCAGAACGGCAGCAATAGTATTGGTATAATACTAATATTGTTAATTATTTTAAATATATTATTAATTTGTAAACATTTGCGTCGACAAAATAAAGGACAACACAAACTAAATCGGAGATCCTTAACGGCTTACGGTGATATGTGAAAACAATTGAAGCTTTTGATGTAAGCAGAAATATGGATTTTCGTAATATATGTCCGAACGTGAATATGGACAGTATACGAGGTAAAATGTAACCAAAAAGAAAAAAAAAAATCAATATTTTCTAAAAGGTCACGTTGTACGAGTTTCTCTTTTTCAATTGAACAGCGAGACCTTGAAATAGGGATTAATTGAATTTTGCTATTTCAGCGGTAATTCCACCACTGCCTGCTATGCCAGCAGCATTATCTAAAATTAAATTACCAAAATCGATGGCGAAATTAAAGTCGAGAAAAATTTTTCGCAGTTCTAGAGAGGATGTTCAACGTAGCAGTTCCAAGAAAAGTGTTTCCTCAATTAGAGAGGCCCCGCCTATACCGCCGTCAGGCTTTGTAAATCATACTCCTACGCGTATTTCGACAATTTCATCTCTTATGAATCAAACGACCAGCGGTGGAAGCATGGAAGATGATTACCAACGCAATACTTATCGGCGAGCAGGCAGCATAGACGATTATCCAACACCGTTGAGTCAAAAATCTGAACGACATCATCATCGCAAAACAATTAGCCCATTAAAAGTGCCCGCTCGCACACCTGAACCGTCCTCGGAATCACCGCAACCACCGAAATTATCTTTTACCGAAAAACTGCAAAAAGGTTATCACGATTTCTCTGAATTCAAATTGAAGCATCTCTTCGTTAAGAAAACTGTGGTCCGTAGGGACAATATTGAAATTGGCTATTATGTAGATCGGTACGAAGAAGATCGCGAGCGCGAAGTAATTGAAGAGGCAGAAGATGATCGTAAAATAGCTAATAATTATGAAATTAAATTTCAAACAGCCCGGGAGGGAGCGGAAGATTCATTCGAGGAAAGCCCCGACGAAGGCTCGCCTGATTTACAGCCTCACATTAAAAGAAAGAAGCCGATAAAAAGTGTCAGTGAGCAAAGCGGTGACGAAAGTGGTATGGAATTAACTCCACCTAAGCGCAGACCAGGTATTGCAGCGACCAGATTTGCCAGAGTTCGTAGCCCAGCTCTTAGCATGTCCGATGAGGAAATCGAACTGCACGATCTCAATGAGGAGCCAGAGTTATCAAATATATCAACAGTAAAGAAAGGCGCAGAAAAGTCAAGTAAAGTGAATGAAGAAAGCCCTGCAGCAACCGACCCTAAAAACGAAGACAAACAAAAACCTAAAGGCTTTAAAGAACGTATGGAAACCCGCTTATCGAAATATAAGGCTTCGCGAGAGAATTTAGATAAAGCAGAGGATTTAAATAAAGAAGACGAAGAAGAAGGGCAAGCAGGCAAAACGCCAAATGCAGAGAAGCCTTTATCAGCCATTAAAGAGAACTTTAAACGCTTACAAAAATCTATTAAATTACCGACATCAAGTAACAATAATAATAATAATAATGCAGTTGCCAGCGACGCAAACGAGAATGAAGACAACGATGAGAGTAATAAAACAAAGTTAAGTAAAACTCGACAGTTTACTGAACGTTTGAAACGTTTCCGCTCTGTAGACAATGTAGATAACGGAACAACAGAAAACGATAAGGAGGAGGAGCAACCCACTCATATTAAATCGACTATAGCCACCAAATTTCAAGATCTTAAGAAAAGCCTTAAAAAGAAACCGTCTGTCGATGTTGGTCAGACAGATGAAGAACCGTCGCCACAACGAGAAAGCAAGCATGGAGATTCATTATTGGAAAAACTTAAACATATTCGTGCCCGTAAACAGCCCACTGGTAACGACGATCCCGATGACGATGAAGAAGGTGGCGAAACTTACAAAGAGAGTTTCGCTGCCCGTGCTAAACTTCAATTGGAGAAAGGTGTTGTTATAGCCAGTCAAATGCCTCATATTACCAAGAAAAAATTGACCGAAACAAAACGCTACTTCCATAGATCCCCTAGTAAAGCTGACAAGAAATCGGACAAATCTAATGAGAATAAAAGGGACGAAGACGAAGCGGAAGAAGAGTCACTTGAAATTGAGGATAATACAAGCAAAGCTGTTGTTCCTCGAAGACGTTTTAGCGAAGTTAGCGAAAATTACGATGCCAAGGAGGAGTATCTGCGAGAAATCGCAGAAGGTCAAGAACAGATTGCTGCTCAAAGTGCTACTGTAGCTTGGACTACTAAGCCAATTATCACTTCTTCATTGGATTTGGAAGACGAGGAGGATATTGCTGCCGATTATCCGAGAGTACTTATACATCAAGATAATTCAGATACTTTTGAATCAACTCTAATAATAGCAGTGACACGATCTAGAACACATACACCGACTCCCATTATAACCGAATTACCACCAGACCCTCCGAGTCCGCCAACCAAAATCGAATCAAAATCTGCGACCTCCGCCAACTCAAACTGGATACCCAATAAGGATATCATTTCAAGTTTCTTAGAGATGACGCCACCGTCGCAACGTAACACCCCCAAGGAGTTCAATGTTAGCAACATTCGGGAGAAATTGAGTAGTCAATCAATAGACTCAAATTCTGATAGCGATTTATGGATTAATCAGAAATTGAATAAGAAAAATTACCGAAAGGCTTCGGTAATAGAATTAAGCGCACCAGAAGACCAGGAAGAAGCTTGGAGAGTTAAATCGTCGCATGAAGACAACAATAAAATCTACAAAACTAAAAGTATCGACATATTTGAGGCAAATGCAAGAAGAGGAGGAGCACTAAATGCTTTCGAAGATTTCGATGATGAACTGAAAAATACACCAGTTATTGAAATTAAACATGAGCAAGAAAGAAAGCAAGAAATTATATCACGACGCGAAAGAAATATAGATTCTTTTGAACACGATAGCAGTGAAGAATTAGATGCTGCCGATGATGACAATTCGTCAAGAGTTACCAAAATTTTGGTAATAAACAAACGAGATAAAAATATTAAGGAAGCTGACCGGATTATTAGATCACAAGAACTCAGTTGTGAGAAAAACACAGCGAACGATCTGTGCATCAGAGAGTTAGAAGATATTGAACTTAAAATTAATGAACCAGACTTATACGAAAGAAGCAACAGTGACGGCGAAATGCATAATCATCCGCTATCCGTAACACCGTCTCGACCACCATCAATGTCTCCTCCTCCACCCCCTTTGCCGCAGCGCCAACCTTCAATCAGAATAATCCAAACTGCTGTTAAAAAAGATTGTTTACCTAGTTCGACATCGACACCATCATCACCATCACCATCACCACCTCCATCGTCAACATCATCGTCGTCATCGCCACCACCACCACCACCGCCGCCACCGCCGCCAACATTACCACAAATAAAACCGCCAATACCGCCCAATAGACCAACGAAAATGAAACCATGCGAAACACCAGCACCAAAACCTCCCGAACCTGTTGCGTCCGTACCAAGAACAAGTAAACCTTTGGTTAAGACTTCATCTTTGCGTCTAACCTACAACGAACAAGTGAATCCCAAAGATAAAGGCAAAGTTAATAAACTTATATCGCGTTTCGAACAGCCAACAAGCGAAAGTAAACAGAGGCCACGTATCATACCAAGAAGACCGATAATTCATCCTGACTCTAGCGAAAATAGTGACGACGAAATTGAAGAAAAACCGCTATCCCAACGCAATTTTGATGAATCTGAGCGCGACGTAACGCCAACTAATCAACCAATTAAAATGACTAAATCGCTCTCCATTGATTCGCCAGATTTATTAAATCACAATATAGAAGAAGTGCAGATATTACCACGCATGCGTAAAATCGCTTCTGATCGCATAAAAACGGAAAATCATCCAACACATTTGGAAAAACATATATCAATACCACAAATTTCGATAGCCAGTAATCCGGATATTAATTCCAACTTAAGCGGGCCCAATTCGGAATATGGTTCACCTATAACTTATCCTTCCAGTTTAGTCAGTTCTACCGAAGCTACGCCATTGTCAGTACGTAAGGAGCCAGACTTACTGCAAACACGACGTAGTCGACGTTCCATGACACGTGACGATGAACGCTTTTACTCATTTGATAGCGATGAAGGTAATAAAAAAACAAAAAAAACAAAAAAAAAAAAAGAAAGAAATTATCGATTGTCATTTATACATTTAATAATAACTTATGCAACTTTTTTCATTTATTTCTCTCTTTTATAGAAAATAGCTACTATTCAATAAGTTCAACAAACAGTAGTCGTTACGTGGTGGAACTTTAAATAGGCGACACGATATTCTAATATTAAGGGGGAGAAAACAAATAAATAACAAAGAATTATTAGAAGCCCTTCGAATGTATAAATTGTGTGAATGTGTAAAAGAGAGAAGAAAATATGATAAAAGCGAACATAATTATGATAAAAATTAATAAACTTAAGACGAAAATATATATTTGACTTGTTTAAGAGTTTGAATATTATTTAGAGAAAGAGAGAGAGAGAGAGAGAGAGAGATGCTGTTGAAAAACTTATCACTTTCTTATGACTTACTGTAGCTTTTGGCAATTAATTCTATTCTATTATTCTAGATACTAATATATTTGGGCACTAAAGGTCTTCGGTGTAATCAAAGTTTCAGATAAGTTACATTGAGAACGAGAAGAACTTAATCTCAATTGGCATCGATCAAAAAGATTTGAATTTTTGCAAATACTGACGATGTTAATACTGATGACGATGATCCTCTTAACTATTATGTTTTTTCAAAATTTAAAGAACGATAAGGACGACAGACAGTCACTCATGCTATATAAATATTTTTGTAGACATTGCGCGGTTATTACATTTCTAATTTTAAATAAATAAATTTAAAAAAAAAAAACCAACAATCATTTAATACTAATAAGGTGAACAACAAATGAATACTGAAATCATTTTCAAAGGCTTAAATCATTTGCGCAACTCTCTGCTGTGATGTGAAAGAAAGTAAAAAGAAGTTAACTAAGGAAAAAAATCTACTTACTTATGTTATGATTCATTTCTTTGATTTTGCGTCAACTTGAATGCATAAAGTGTACAAAGTTCAATGACTTTCAAATCATTGAAAAAATTTATGGCAACATTCGTAAAAAGAAGAACAAAAAAGGAAAACCATCTGCTCTTCTGAATTTATCTCCTTATTGTTACTATTGTTGCTATTATAACCTAACCATTTGCATACATGTGTAAAACACATAGTCACATGAATAAATGGTGAATTATTTGACTTATCTACTTTCGGTGGTTAACGATAAAACAAGAAGAAGAAGAAAATAAAAAATAAAAAAATAAAAAATAATCACTCTATGCTAGCAAAAATATTGTTATTTTAACACCAATACCACTGTCAGCGAAAATTGGCAACGCAGCGCATTAAAAGGTTGCATATGCATATATAACGTTCCCATAAGTTTGCAGTTATTGTTGTTGCTATTGCCGCAGAGTTTTATATTGTACAATAAAATTCCGCCTCAATTTACAGTTAAATTGTATATATATTCATATATAAGGATATACATATATATCCTTGCTGCAATATAATACCTGCAAAATGCTTGCATAAAGAAAAGTAAATGCGTATGCATTTTATATAAAACGGATGAGTAAAATCCATATTATTATACTTCTAAAAGTGTTACTGTGTCAAAGTGTCGAAGACCGGGTACGCACTTCGTAAGATGTCGAATAAATGAAACAGAAATTATTACGGCAAAGTTCTCCTCGCTTTTTACCACCCTTTGCTTCTCTTTTAGCATAATTGTAAATTGAAAATGACTAATGCTTTTTATTGATTCAGAAAATTTTATCAATTCCTTCGCCGTATTTAACTCATGAAAAACACTTCTTTTTTTTTCAATAATTTATTAACATAATTTCATAATTAATTAAAAAAAATATATTACCTACCAGATGTTCAAAGTAAATAATGAAATATTATATATATTATCTTATATATATGAATGCATGAGCCAAGTGTTGGTAGTGGTGGTATGTTATTAGGCTTTGCTTGCCAATAATTAAAAAAAAAAAACAAAAAAAAAAGGGTGCGTTGCAAAGAAGAAAAAATAAATAAATTGCAAATCAGTGTCGAATCGAATCTTTGATACACCCTACCATCTAATGTACTTATCTCTAGTTTTATAATAATTTTTGCGATGGCCTCGCAAGTTGAAGTTGTGTGCTTTTCTTTACTTTTTGCTTTGAATGCTCGAGCCAAGGATTTCGAATTTTAAATTACGAGATTTTTACGAACAAATCGAAACGAGTTGTTCGAATCACGAATTATTATGGCCTTAGCAAGTAACACTGCATGTTACATATGGAGTAGCAAAACCAATATACTCTCATCTCTTTTGATGTTGACGTTAGGTGCCAAATTCCCTTTTCATATGTGCGGGTTTAACTAATTTAATCAACGTTCATTTATCACGTTTCTATTTTTCTTTGTATCACACCACTCTCTTATCCATTAAATATGTTTTTTTTCATTTATTATATTCCAGAAGTTGATTGATGCCAGGGAATCTCGGTCATATTGTTTATTTTCTATGCACGTGTTCAACTATTGCGGTACAGTATTTGATTTTGTCGGTTTCACACTACATTCCTTTTTGCGTTTAATTGAATTAAATTTTATGAGACTTTTGACAGATCACATATTTTTTTTTATATACATTTTTTTTTATGCTGACTAACTATATTTTGTTAAAGAAATAATTCGCTTTTCTATTCGAGAATAACCAATTTACTCAATATGCGCGGCATTCATTCATTTTCGTTTCCATTTAATTCATAAAATTTATTGGCCGTCATGTCCTATTAACGCTTTTATAGCCTCCTTTAGGATTTTAGTGGAGTAAAATGTCCCATCTTTCTTCGAATTTAGTTAAACTTATGCTTACTTTTAAATATTAGTCGAGGTTCTACTTACGGTTCTCGCTATCGAGAGATTATATATAATTACGAAGGACAAAATTGACACCACAACGCTTTTCGGGTTAACGATAATCGATTGCATTCGTATCGAGTTAGGCTTCTCGTTGGTTGCACTTATATATATATATTGGTATATTTGTGATATCGGCGGTATAATATGTTTAACAAAGTAATGCAAAGAAGAGCAAGAAAAGTAAGTAAATAAGTAAACGAAATATGAAATTAAGACATTATAGTAAATTACGGCCTGGCATTAAATACACTACACCACTTCCCTTAACGTAGTTATTCGAGTGTCGAGCGTCCGTCCTTGATCAAAAACACGTCGCTGTACAAAATTTCATCAAAACCAGCGATCTAGTTTGTCTACTATCCAAGCACCGGCATAACTGCGTTCAATTGTCATGCCATCGGTCAGTGTGCGCCAAGAATTAGTTTCGGGAGCATACACCTCGACTGATGATAAATACGACTGACCGTCATATCCTCCCACTACGTAGAGTAGGCCATCCTGAGCTACCACGCCAGCGTTTTTACGGCATAATGACATATCAGCTACTGGATGCCATTCATTGCTTTCAGCATTGTATGCCTCTGCAGATTTGCACACTATTTCACCATCGTAGCCACCTACAGCGTAAAGTATGTTATGGAGTACACCTATACCAGCGCCGCAGCGACGTGCCGACATATTTGCTACAGCGCCCCACCTGTTAGTTCCGGGATTGTAGCGTTCGACTAAGGAGAGATATTCACATGTATTTCTGTCGACACCGCCGACAGCGTAGAGTAAACCATTAACTACTCCCACGCCCACTGCACGACGTCGGGTAGACATTGGTGCTATCTGACGCCAATGGCCATTTCTCGGATCAAAGATTTCAGCCGAGTTAAGGTCTGTAGTAAGTTCAGAACCGCCCACAGCATAAATGCAACCATTAAGTACCGCAACACCGAAGGAAGATCGTTTTGTCAACATATTGCTGCTGGAAGACCATCGATTTGTCGCGGGATCGTAAACCTTCACACACCGCAGATGTGATCGACGACTAATTCCACCTATAGCATACACCTTTTTACCTAATACCGCAAAGCTGGCTTTATTTCTTCTAAAGGGCATGTCGGCAGCCAGATGCCACTTTTCTTCCTGCAAATCATAGCACTCAACCGAACGGATTGCTTGTAGCGGACTACCTCCTATTACTAAAAGTATCTTTGGCAAATCCACATGTTTGCGAGGTATTGTACGCACCGTGGTAATTTCAGAAGGTGCCAGATGATAATAAAATGCTTCCATAATTAAATCTTTACATTTCATACTGCGCTTTAACAAAGGCTCGTTATACACCTTCTGAGTTATATATTGTTTTGCTAGAAGCGGCAAGCGCACATGTTGCATTAAATCGGCGGTATGCTGTCGGCGTTGTGGTTTATCATAACGTAACCAGTTTATGACGCATTCATAAACCTTTTCTTCGCTGGAAACCGATATATCGTCATCACTTATTAAACCGATTACTTTTTCATGTGTCAAATTTAAAAATTCATCAAATCCTATGACTTCGTTGAAATGCTTCTTTATATAGGTGTCGGTGTAATTAAACAAGTTGACACAGCCGTGCATATCGGCTGCGTCTCGTATACTCAAACAATTGCTGGCATTCAAATGAGTTTGTAAATAGTCACAGCAGGCGTCTCGAACATCGGTTAATTCCAAAAGATAGGCTGCGGTTAACAGGTGTACGGCATTTTCCTTATTGATTTCTAACGTTGATGCGTACAGGTATTCGATAAGCAGTTTAACAGCATGACCATCGACGCGCTCTAGGATAATTCAATCTTGTTGTGACTCTGTAAACGTGGTATAGAAGTAAGGACTGCACGATGCCAAGATTACTTTATGAGCTGGTATTTCTATATCGTTAACTACCAGGGTAACGTCGCACAGCAGATTTTGTGTGCGCAATTGGTTCAAGAAGTTAAGAGAACGCTGTTTTAAATCGGAACTCCTCGACAAAATAAATCGTTGCTGCATCTTTTGTAAATTAATCTTGGAAAGTAATTTAAAGGAAAAATATATAAATATGTATTTTTAATATTAAAAAGTCACACTTACATTGATATGTTTTTTGTCCTTTTTATCTTTGAAAATATTAACTTTTTCACCGTTCGCCTTTTTTCACACTGAGTTAATTTCTTTTTTCAGACTTATTTGTTTTGATATTTAATAAAAATGGCCTACTT